GCCCCTAAACTAATGACATCTAGTATTAGGTTACCGCCGTTCAGTCAGGTGAGGGGATTAAGTTACTTGCTGTTGTTACATAAACTGCTTTCAATACTTTATTTTGTAAAACCAAATCCTTCCCCAGGTCACCTTTTTTTTGCTTCAAATGCTTTGACTTCTTTATTTTATACTTTGTTTTGTGTTGCTGCACTTTTATGTTAACAACCTATATCACATTTTGTGCTTGTTTACATCTGCAAAGACATTTTCTTTTACATTCTTTGCTTATCTGTGTAAACGTTTGTGATAACTTCAATCATTTATTATTTATTTTTTGTTAATGTTGCATAACAACTTTTTTTTTTTGGCAAAGATCGTTATTTACATTCTTTGCTTGTGTTTGTAACTTAATTTGTAACTTCTTAACTCTGTAACATCTTATTTATTGGTGCACTTTTTGTTGATGCTGAGTACGTAACAGATATTTTTTACATTCTTTGATTTATATTTGTAACTTTCTATTAACTAATTCCTTTATTATTTATACAGAGAGAGTCTCTCTCTCTTTCCTTCCTTCCTCTCTTTTTATTTTTCTCTCTCTCTCTTTCTCTCTTTCTTTCCTTTCTCTCTCTCTCCCTCTCTCTTCCTCTCTCTTTCTCTCTTGCTCTCTCCTCCTCTCTCTCTCTTTCTGTCGCTCTCTCTTTCTCTCTCTCTTCCTCGCTCTCATTTATTTTTCTCTCTCTCTCTTTCTCTCTTTCTTTCCTTTCTCTCTCTCTCCCTCTCTCTTCCTCTCTCTTTCTCTCTTGCTCTCTCCTCCTCTCTCTCTCTTTCTGTCGCTCTCTCTTTCTCTCTCTCTTCCTCGCTCTCTCTTTCTCTCTCTCTTCCTCGCTCTCTCTTTCTCTCTCTCTCTTTCTGTTTCTTTCTTCCTTTCTCTCTCTCCCCTTTCTTTCTTTATCTGTTTCTCCTCTCCCTGCTCGCTCTCATTCTTTCTTCCCCTCTCTCTCTCTCTCTTTTTAGTTCTCTTTTCCTCCTTTTTTCTCTTTTTTTCTGTCTCCTCTCTCTCTTTCTCTCTCTTTCTCTCTTTTTCCTCTGGCTGTGTGAAATGATTTCTTGTTTTGTAACAAAACATTTGGAAGTTTAATGAAGAGCACAGTTTTGGGGGGGAAATTCTGTGGTTGGCCAACTGGCGCAGTTTAGTTAACTCGAACCATTCCATTGATTTGCTTTGTTGTTACATTTTGTAAAGCTGTTGATGAGTTTGTTGACATCTGACGTGTGAAAGTAAAACATTTGTGGACAGATTGTTGTAGAACTCATTTGTGTTACTTGCGGTCCTGTAAAATTATCTTTGTTCTGCGACAAATGCAGAATTGTGGATTTTTGTTGGCTTGGGTTGTGTTTGTTCTGGAAAAAGGTTCTTCTTGCCATTTCTTATTGTTTTCGATAGCCCATTGATGTATCCCGAGGAGTGCAGAATCAAAGTTTAACTTTTTAAATGAAGTTGCAGTGATTTCTTTTTTTTAACTTTGAGGAAAAGTGAGTGAAATCGCATTGCTATCTGGAAGCCAAATTGTCTGACTCAATAGCCACCTAATGACCTTCCACAGAACTTTTAGGACAGTAATACATCACTGGAGACAGGCAGACTCCCAGCATGCATCTCTCCGGCTTGCCTGGTAACCCTTTCAGTCATGTGATCAGCTGATGCAGAGCTGGACAGTGTGGGCGCAGTTCTGTTGAAGCTGCTGGAGATTTTCTAACATTGTTATTCTATTTTATTTATTTCATTTTTTTTGCTTAGTGCTCTTTGGATCTAAAATGGACACAGAATATATTTAATTTACACACATACACACACACACACACACACACACACACACACACACCTATTTATTATTTATACAGAGAGAGTCTCTCTCTCTTTCCTTCCTTCCTCTCTTTTTATTTTTCTCTCTCTCTCTTTCTCTCTTTCTTTCCTTTCTCTCTCTCTCCCTCTCTCTTCCTCTCTCTTTCTCTCTTGCTCTCTCCTCCTCTCTCTCTCTTTCTGTCGCTCTCTCTTTCTCTCTCTCTTCCTCGCTCTCTCTTTCTCTCTCTCTTCCTCGCTCTCTCTTTCTCTCTCTCTCTTTCTGTTTCTTTCTTCCTTTCTCTCTCTCCCCTTTCTTTCTTTATCTGTTTCTCCTCTCCCTGCTCGCTCTCATTCTTTCTTCCCCTCTCTCTCTCTCTCTTTTTAGTTCTCTTTTCCTCCTTTTTTCTCTTTTTTTCTGTCTCCTCTCTCTCTTTCTCTCTCTTTCTCTCTTTTTCCTCTGGCTGTGTGAAATGATTTCTTGTTTTGTAACAAAACATTTGGAAGTTTAATGAAGAGCACAGTTTTGGGGGGGAAATTCTGTGGTTGGCCAACTGGCGCAGTTTAGTTAACTCGAACCATTCCATTGATTTGCTTTGTTGTTACATTTTGTAAAGCTGTTGATGAGTTTGTTGACATCTGACGTGTGAAAGTAAAACATTTGTGGACAGATTGTTGTAGAACTCATTTGTGTTACTTGCGGTCCTGTAAAATTATCTTTGTTCTGCGACAAATGCAGAATTGTGGATTTTTGTTGGCTTGGGTTGTGTTTGTTCTGGAAAAAGGTTCTTCTTGCCATTTCTTATTGTTTTCGATAGCCCATTGATGTATCCCGAGGAGTGCAGAATCAAAGTTTAACTTTTTAAATGAAGTTGCAGTGATTTCTTTTTTTTAACTTTGAGGAAAAGTGAGTGAAATCGCATTGCTATCTGGAAGCCAAATTGTCTGACTCAATAGCCACCTAATGACCTTCCACAGAACTTTTAGGACAGTAATACATCACTGGAGACAGGCAGACTCCCAGCATGCATCTCTCCGGCTTGCCTGGTAACCCTTTCAGTCATGTGATCAGCTGATGCAGAGCTGGACAGTGTGGGCGCAGTTCTGTTGAAGCTGCTGGAGATTTTCTAACATTGTTATTCTATTTTATTTATTTCATTTTTTTTGCTTAGTGCTCTTTGGATCTAAAATGGACACAGAATATATTTAATTTACACACATACACACACACACACACACACACACACACACACACACACCTCTCTCTCTCTCTCTCTCTCTCTCTCTCTCTCTCTAATTGTGTCCTGAAATAATTTCCACTTGAGTTGAAGTTTATTTTTTACATTTTGAATCCACACACTAGCTGAAATCTGAAATCAGGCTTGAATCGGGAGTGTCTTCTCTGTAGCGCAGGGGAGGATTCTAAGTTAGGCTTAAAAAAGGCAGAGCTCCTTGAGGTAACACTCACAGGGATGGGGTAGGGAGGGACGGGGTGTTTGCCGAACTGCAATGCATGAAAGGTGTTGTCACCCTCCTTGAAGCCATATAGCGCTGCAGTTTTAGGGCCCGTTCGGGCCATTGCGCTGGCAAACACACATGCACATTTTTAATGCGTTGCATTTACATGTAGTGCAACAGAAGTTTCTTTTTATGTGCGTTATGCTTGTGTTTTAAGCAATAGTCCATGATGAACCCATCGCACTCCTATCCGCTTTTCTCCATGTACAGGTGCAGCGGTGATAACGGGTGGCTGCCATCCTCAAGTAAGAAGAGGAATATGGACCCCGGCACTCCAGATGTTGTACAAATGCATCTATTTATGTGCAGCATGCATAGCACAAAACATGCAACGTTTCCGGGTCTCCCTTCTTCAGGCAGAGCATGTGATGCTTGTGTTTTACATATGTTTTCTTCCTGGGGGTCACATGTTAAATATAAAAACGTGACTTGATCAATTGGCATATTGCGTTCGTAGCGCGTTTTGCAAGCGTTGCCATTGACTACGATGTAACGCACATTTTTACCAAAGGCGCAGCGAGCCAGATTTTTCAAGAACGCAATGCACCGCTAAGAAGAGCTTCATAGGGTGTCATGTTAACTGGTTCTGATGACCTATGATCTAGATCTAGTTCTGTGATCCTGTGGTGTAGGGCCAAAGCTGGGGGGTCATGTGCCCCGGGTGCCACTTTAAGAGGGGTGCCACTGGTTGTGGCACCCCTCTTCTCCCTG